AAAAAGCCAAAAATTGATTAATCATTATGCAAATTAGGTAATTAATATTCCACAGATTTTTACCCAAAACTAATCAAATCTGCGCATTAGTTTGGAGCATCTGTGTGCCAAGTTTCATCAAAATCCAATGAGTGGTTCTTTAGATATCAGTGGAACAGTCATGGAACAGCTAAAAATCAGCTAATTATCATGCAAATTAGATAATTAATATGCATGGATTTTTACCAAAACCTAATTAAATCTGCGCATTGGCCCAGAGCATCCATGCACCAAGTTTCATCAAAAACTGATGTATGGTTCTTGAGATATCAGTGGAACAGACGGACACACATACACATACACACACACACACACACACATACAGACACACTAACTGCAAAGACTCCCTTTTTGTGCTTCGCACACGGGAGTCAAAAAAAAAAAGTATAAAATAATAGAAATGTGGCAAAAATTTACATTAGCGCACAAATAGGTAAGGACAATTTTATAATATCCTCAATTTAAATCTAAATTTGAGTGCCATATCAAGCAGAAAGCGACGCGATGACCACTGCCCTTTAATATGGAGCTGACTTAATGACTTTCCTGGTGAATATATGGAAACTACATGTAATATAAATATTACATATAACTATATATGAAGTGTATACATGGCAAATTTAATAAAAATATGATGATAACATGCAAAATCCAAAATCTTTTGATTTTATCAATAACTGTTGTTTATGAATTTATTGATGTTTTAAAGAAAACATAAGAACTAATATACCAACCTGCCAAGACAGAAATGCCGAAAACAGCACCAATACTGTAGTCAATGTAATCTCCCTGAAGGTTAGGCAAACAAAATAGTGTCAGTCATTGAATCAATACATGGGTTCACCCTGAAAATACAACGTTACCATGTATCTTCTGTTTATATTTTATCGTTTTAATAGCAGAAGACAAACAAGCATGTCAGTGTGAAGTAAAAGCTTGTACTGTGTGCATGACGTGTAAGACACCTAATCGTCTAGCTTCATGTCATGGCACGTCTTCCCCTTGGCTAATTATGTGCAGAGAGTGTGAAACCAATCAACGCTGATCCATGCTACACTGACATTGGGACAAAGGTCCTCAGAACTTGCTGTTTACATTTTCACATTTGCCAAGATTAAATTTGATAACTGCTTCCAATGGAACATTGTTTATGTCACAACAATTGAATCAATATCAAATAAAAAGTTGTATAATAACAGAACTGCCGTAAAATTTGACCACCCATCTGAAAACCCTTGTTACAAAATTAAAACAGTGCGACTTCATTCTTCATAGAAAAACACATATATGTATTTTTATAATTCCAGTAAGACAGAGATTAGCTTCAAACAATACCTGACTCAATACACATTACCGGGTACAAAAATACCACCCGGTAGAATAAAAAAAAAAAAAAAATACTGGAATAAAAAAACAGTTCACATATTAGATATTGTTTAAACACCAAACAATTCAAATGAAAATTGTCTTGGGCAAGGTCCAAGCACAGTGAACAAATATTTTATGTATTTTCACACGTAACTGACATGGTTCCAGCTTTCGGTAATGTTGATACTGAGACAACAGCAACAACAGCTGAAAAAATTGTTTCCAAAATGGGGAAAATTAACACATATAAAAGAGGAAATGGTTCACACAACAACCACCAAAACTGAACAAGATGCAAGGTTTTGTCCAAAAAAATGGTGGCCGAACTGAACAACAACATTGCAAGAGCGAATCAGCACACAGGAATTCGTAGAGAAAGAAAAAGATTATGCAATGCATTCTGGGAAATATGGTATACTGTTAAATATTTAATTTCAGCTGGAATTAATTAATAATAAAATAAAAGACTTTTTTGCTGTTTTGTATAACATTTATTTTCCCTGATTTGGCAGCTATAACTTGGTAATAAAAAGGAACTCAAACCCATAATTTTCTCAAGCACACTTTGTACTGCATATGTATACACATACCTATTTTGTGTAGGCAGTCGTCCATTATTGTGTTAGTATTTTACAGTTATATATTACATCATGCAATCATCTTGAATCCAAAGAAACACAAAATGCAGAATTATCCTGCGAAACATTGAAATACCGCTAATCTTAGTTACTTACTGCAATTATCATGATAGCGTTATCAAGGAAACCAAATCCAATAAATGGTACAGCATTACAAAGGCCAACTGGAAAGAGACAAAATTGCAAACATGTAATATTATGTGCATCTTGAGAAAATATGCAAATGAGTTTTGGTCAATGTATAATTATTCCATCTCAAGCTAAATTTAGAGATATGGCTTTACCCTACATGTAGTTGAAATGCAATAATATCAACTGGCTCTTTTTTATATTCTCTAAACTCAGTATTTAATTAATATTTTATATTTATAATTATTTAATTATTAATTTATATTTATCCTTCACACTTTCTAACTGAAATGACAAATACAA